ACCTCAAGTGTTAACTTCTTCTGCGAAATTCACTACACTTTATTACTATCATTAAATGGCTCACTGCACTCTCCCTATGGTGTGAACCGCTATCAATTATGCAGCCATACTTTCAATTATTGTATATTCTTAAAGTACCTGCTAATGAATCGTGAAAGTACTGTGTTATGGTGTGAGTGTACTGGGCAATAACCAGCTACTGTACACTTAAACACTTTTTTTCAATTAGATCTGGGTGCCAGTTTTTTAGTCATTAAGCACATTTGGTGTAAGGAAGTCCACCTTACACTTAGCCAAAGGTGTTTTTGCAGTTGCTGTTAGCCGGCAGCATCTCAGCCCCAATGCAAAGCTGCATGTAAGAGGACTCCCCGGACAACACACGAGTACCCACTGCGATTTTCACTGGGGATTTTGATATTCACACCTGTACTAGGTGTTGTTTGGGAGTCTGATAAGCATGTGTGAAACCAGAGGGATGAGTAGAATGGGGAACCTTATTTGAGGGAACAGATCTTTTCAGATATATCTGTTGAGGACAGCGCTGTTGTTTTGTATTTTCATGTAAAACAATAAGAAGGGACAAAGCCAAATAAGCACGGTGTATCTTAGATACCAGCCATGTGTCTAATTGAAGCTGCGCATGGCCATATGGACATGTGCGAAAAATAGAATGTCCAATAACTACATAAGGATTCAAGCAGCACATGGAGAAATAAAATATTTCCAGCTACATCATTGCCAGTCAGTGACTGCACAGCTCGAAGGGGAGATTTATCTAAAAGCCATTACGATTCGGGCAAAATGGGACTTTGTGTCATGTTCTACCGAGCAGTGTACACGGCACAACGTTTTCATCGTATGAAGAAATCACAGACCTCATCATTACAGGATCAGAGGCTGAAAAACAAAGTGCATGAGACTTGCTCCTCCTCTCTCCCCGTTGGTGATGTTCAGAGGCAGCCTGGTATCGGAGGTGTTAATTGGCAAATTCAGCACAAGTCAAGAGCATGTTCCCTGTCGTCCTCGCCCAGTAAGGCTGGGTCATTAAACCAAGAATGGATTCTTTCATGCCGCCTTAAACCCTGAATTGCGAGTTGCCGTTCCGCGCGCATCGTCCGGCTCCATCCAACCCCCATGTGTCAAGAGGAAAGAACAACCTACACTGATGTAACAGCGACAATAAGATAACAGGAGGATGGCGTCTCGAGAGCTGGACTTGCAGTGGTACAGTTATCTCAAATTGGCAGCCAAGTGTCTTTGAAGAAGTTCAGAAGTTTAAAAATGTCCGACACCCCCATCCTCCACCAGTAAACATAGAAAAGATGTCTGTGCCTGTGGCAACTGAACAACTTCATTTTCGGGAAACAACATCACAATCAGACTCCAGTGATCAGTGCTTTTGTGTTGTGTGTATTTGAAAGAGCCGCCCCGTCTGCCTGAAATGTGAGCCTCCTCTGGGGCTCCGGGTGCGATCTCACCACTGCCTCTGTCATCACTTGCTGTGACTGCCAAATCTCTGCTCCAGAAATCAGGGCTCTCAGACCAGCACGGAAACAATCACAGTGGAGAGCGGAGGCTGTTTTGAGACTTTGCACATGCAGCGATGGCTTCAACACATTTAATCGAACGAAAAAAGTCAGCTCCACCACTGCTGCACAGAGAGCACATGGAGCCCAACGCATGGCAAGACAACTGTGAGGTGATACTCTCCGCTCGCAACGCCATGAGAGTTGGCAGCCTCTCATGCCAACGGTGACCAGTGCACAGACAGTTGAATATGCTTCTCTCCAAAGTTGTTAATTATCGTAACGACATCGATGTGAAGAGGGCATTCTAGTCAGGTGACCTCACTCCACTCGCTATCTCTCTGTTTGGTTTTATGATTTGATTAAAAGCGTTCAGAATCACCCTTTTTCTCCCACTGGTGTCACATCTTATGGCGATGGCCCAATCTGATAACCCTTGTTTTAAATTTTTAGACGGCAGATGAAAATGCCAACACTGACTTTGTGGAATGGCGCATTATCCGTGTATTGTATACTGCGATTGTAATCCATTCAGAGGCCAATAAAGATCTGAATTTATAGTTGGGTTGAGATATTCTAAAAAATGTTGTCCAAATAATCTATGTTAAGCACAACTTTCCTGTACATACAACCATATGATTTTATAAAAGGTAATTGTAAAAGAGAAATCACCATGCAGTTGATTACAGTATAGAAGGTTGTAGGTTTAAATAGAAATATAAGAAGGAAGAATAAACACTGGTGAAAGTTGCTATCTAACAATAAATACGTCATATTTTATACTAAAAAAATCACATTTTTGCAACCCACCAAATACTTCACAGCTGTGCGTACAACCATTATCGGAAAAACCTTCATCGAAAGGCTGCATAAGCTGGTTCGTTCCTCTTTAAGCAAAGCTGCATCCATTAATTATCTTTAACTGACCTTAGATTCTGCTGCATTTATGAGATCCAGCTCTGTTTTCTTTTTACAGCTTCCCTCACGGAGACCGTTCTGTTGCATACAGTGTGCGTTCTGTTTGATCATAGAATTGCACCTTGAACTTTGACCTTTTTGCCAACATGTGCATTGAGACCTCCTAAATCAAGATGGTAGTGGTAGTATGGGTATGGGAACGTACATCGTGTCCTATTAAAATGTATTTCAAAACAAAAAATGTTTATCCCCCAAAAAAGTAGTGTTATTTCCTGTTCAGAAAACCTATTGAGCTTCATTTTCTCCTCCATTGTTCATTATCATAATCACAATGAAATCTGAAAACGTTCAACTACTATTTTTCAAATGTATTTAAACTTTTTATGACATTACCTTTTGTCAATTATCTATCTACAGCGTGGTGACCTATTACTCCACTCAATCCACCTCGAAACCCTCCCAGTATCAGTACCTCATCCTTCCAGTACGAGCTGATAACGCAGGCCCCTTCGATCTCTGCATGTAGATGACTTACGAGCTCAAATAATTGCCAACAGCTACACTTTGCTGTTTTGTCTCCCCTCATGTCTACTTGAAAATGAGCGTGGTCCCCTGAAGCCTGCGACTTCCCTGTCTCCCCAAACTCTCTGCAGCATGGACTGCTGGTGCAGAGGCACTGCTGATTAGCATGCAGTAATGATGGTGAGCTGAGCTCCATTGTTCTAACACCTCCCCTCTCCTCCGCACCAATCTGTCACCATTCAGTGGGCTAGAGCTGCCTCAAATGCTTCTCTCCACAAATGAGATGGATAATTAGTTGCCCCTCACGAATGCTGCACTCTTCTCACCCCTGATTGCTTTCACCTTCTTGCTCCTGGCAATTTTGACACCTTGTAATCAGCCTGCTACTTCTCCGTCTCAATCCATATCCTTCTCCTTTTTTTGTCCTCCTTCATTTTTTGGTACAGCTCTCTCTATATATCACAAGGAAAAAGGGGGGGAACAAGCACTCATATTGTACTGGAAATTGTATATATAAAACACCAATAACGCATTAAACCTTAAGTGGACTACACACGTGTGTAAATATATAGTGTACGGAAATACACACAAAAATCCTAGCTGTCAGTACGAGTTTCCTCTTCCAAATAACAACAAATGACAACATAATTATGAGCAAGCAGCTGTTCATGATCCCAGAGAGAAAAGCATGCAGGCTGCACAATGTTCGGCTCTTCGCGGATTAACCAGAGAGGATCATTAGGGATATGCATTTGCCAAAAATATAAAAAGAATAAATGTGTTGTGTTTAAGCGCTGCTCCTTTATCTTATTCTAGTGATTGACTAGTTTGAAATAGTTAGTAGCATCACTACATCTCTTCTGACTAATTCATGAAAGCCAACATAATGGGCGACGCTAAATCAGTTAAGGTTGATGGAACAAATTAATCCGTCATTTGAGCTGTATTTTGTTTTGAAAAGTGATATATAGTTAAAATATATAGTTATGAAAAGGGTTATTTGCTGTATTCACACCAGTTCGTCTTCTCAGCAGTGTTACCAGCACATAGCTGAAGGGTTGCAAGGTCCTCTCCGCACAACAAAGTGTTCCAACACACACGGTGTCCACTTTTTTTTGAACATCGTCACTCTGAAGGTGGAAAATCACTGCAATTGTTTGCGACGGTGTGAATAAATACTGTCCTTGTCAAAAATCGATGATTTGATGATAGATAAAAAATAATCAGGTTTAGTCAAATAACAGCTCACATACATGCTGTAAAATATGTCAGTGATTGAAACACCATCTGTTCCAATCCCAGATGATATTTTCTTACTTTGGTTTTGTAAGAGCGGCCCTGTATTTCCATAACTATTAACTAATTTATTATCCAATATTAGTCAATAGTGACATTTGATAATCGGCACACCTGGAATGTCTTATTTAAATACTGCGTAGAGCCTTAGTCGGCGAAAGAACTAGTGGTGGTTATATAGAATAGTGGTATAGTGGTATAATAATAGAATAGTGGTATATCAATAGGTAAAACCATAACTATATGAATAGCAAGGTAATTGGGAATCTGACTTAACAATAAGCTTGATCCTAACAATGTGTGCTGCCATCTGTGTAGACACTTTTAATGAATACATGGCAAACTAACTCTGCAATTGATTTCTAAATTGGTAATATTCCCAACTCGCTACCCAGGATAACGTACAGATGTTTTAAATTATCTTGGTTGAACTACACAACATGCAACGTCCAATTAATTAAAGTTCTATCAAAAATAGTGCTAATCACAATGTAAACACTAAACATTTAAGGGATGACTATTGTTTCCATGTTGCAATTTATCGTCCGTGACATATTGTGGTTCTGAGATATACAATCTTGCAGTTTATCCAAAAGGTTTTAGGTTTTAGTCTCAAATTCCGTTTTGGAAATTGACAAAGCAAAACTAGTTTCTGTTAAGAAAGTAGTTAAATTGTATATATATTACATTAAGTTACAGAGCATGTTGCACAATTAAAATGAATAAATACACAACTTGAACACGTTATATATTTATGTATTAATACACTTCATGGCCTTGCACCACAACCTGTTTCAAGTTTCCATATTAAAAATAGATCCAAATGATAAAAAAGATATAACAGCTGCTTTATTTGCCCCTATACAGTATATATATATATATATATATATATATATATATATATATATATATATATATATATATATATATATACACACATTTCATGTTATGCATCGTCGTCACTTAGGCTAGAGTTAAATCTCAGTGTGACATTTGAAGAATATAATGGGCAAGAAAGTGTAGAACTCAATTCTTCAATATTAAATAAATGGATCCAAGTCCTGCAGTGTCCTTTCAAATCCAGTACGGCGCATGTTCTTCCAGGCAGGAAGGACTAGACCGTCAATACAGTAAGTACCGGAGCAGTCGGGGCCCCTGAGCCGTCAGTCTCTGCCTTCACCGGCAATTGTCGGCTTCGTTCTTAGTGGAGCAATGCGAGTAGAGGTGGCTGTTCATTCGGTCCTGAGGAACCACGGCGTGGCAGAAAGCACATTTATCAGGACTGCTGCTCTGAGGCGTCGCCAGCTCTGTTCCCACGTCAACCGCATCACCCAGCTGGGGGCTCCAGAGAGGCTGCAGAGCAGGACGAACCAAAGAAAACATTACATTATTCATAGCGTTAACATTCTTTACACTAACTCTAATAAAGCATGCTGGACCACTTGGACTTTAAATTGAGATATCTGCTTTGAGGAATACAAGAATATGTCAACACAACAGTCTGAACAAATAATCCACAGCAATAAAAAGCAAAACGCTATTCTCAAGTGTTTAATTATCCTGCTATGTATGTGTTCAACCACACCATCACACCAGCCTCGCCTATTACGAATGCCCGCGTGGATGTAATCTAGGGAAATAATTACGCTATGAAAAACTCTTGAACCAAGTTTGAGATCCCACTTCATGTCATTCACAATTTCTTTATTAGGCATTTATACACATCAGCAAAATATAAAATCCCACTTAACCATCAAACTTGTTTCATCAGATTCAGACACTGTAATGTGCTTCCATCTGGCTCACACTTCCCAGCAAAGATGCCAAATATAACCAGAGCATCCATGCTTAAGTAAAAAAAAAAAAGAATCAGCACACATTACACAGTAATACGTTTCAAGTTAAGCCAAGGGGATTTTTTTTATGGACATCACACTGTTTCACTCCTCCATTATCAAAGACCAATCAGAGACGGATCATTTGCCACTAGTTTTCTCAAGACTTTCTCCTGTGATTCTCACCTGCTGGGGTCCCCGCACGCTCTCCTGGGAGAGCGAGGATGATGCGGCGTGGGTGGGGGATGGAGGGTAGACAAAAGGCAGGGGCAGTTCCACGGGCTCCTCTTCCGTCAACGTGGAGGGGACACTGCGGGGAGGCCGCTGCAGGAACACGGCCAGGCCGGCGTGTCTCTCCGGCGCACTGTTCAGAAAGTCGTATTCGCTGTCCGCGGAGGGTGGGAATTTGACACTGAGTTTGGTGAGAGAGTCTTCTAGGTCTTTGTCTTCAGGGCTGGCGCAGCGAGACGCCAGAGGCGTGGGCGGCAGCGGGACGGCCGCCGCTGGCCTCGGCGGCGGGGGAAAGGGCCTCTCTGCCTCTGCCGTGCGGTCCGTGCACTGGATGGGCATGGAGAACCACTGATCTGTCGGACGGCAGGGAGACAAGAGGGTTCACACAGTTTTTCTCTCGTGGTCGCCATGTTGACGTATTGCCGCGCTGGCTTTATTAACAATTGAGCTTTTGACATTTGAAGGAGCATATATATGTTTTTTTAAATATATATGCATTATGCACCTGTATGTGCAATGGCATAAATACACAAAAATAATTCTTATTTCCATTACAAAAATATTTCCATTATATATTTATTATTGTATGAACAATTAGTATCCATTAATTATACACCTACTATCCAGAGCAAATATTATTCATTTGTCAGTGGCATTTTCAAATATATTTCTCTATTACTTTTTAAACAGCAGAGGCCTGCTACGAATCAAAATAACAATAATGCATTCGAGCAGAGTCCTAGTTAAGGTGTTAATATCCAATTATCTGAAGCTAAATCACAGGTTTATATGACATAGTCAAACCTGGTTCGAAAAAGTACATTTTATTTTTAAAAATGTAATTAACAAAACAATCCGTTTTTAATAAATGTTACAAATTAATATCACCGCTTGATGCATCGCTTCCTCCATGGAACCTTTTCAGATGATCTTTTTGTCTCCTGGTTAGAGAGCGAATCTGCCGGAATTTCCCTTGAATGGCTTCAAATGCATTCAGCATGTCCTGACTGACAAACAAATAAATAAAGAGTAAGGAAATAAAATCCATCCCTTAATTGTAATGCCCATGATTTGTATACCAATAAAAGGTCTTGGAGACATACTAGTCAAAGCTGCTGTTGACTGGACAACTAGAAGCAACAGTACCAGTTTTCTCCTGTAAAAAGACACATTAGATATGCAGTGATCATTACCAACAATCATCCGAGGGAACATGTTCATGTATATGCAATTTGATTTACACGTCACAAATAGATATTTACTTGTGGAAAATGTTTTCTTGCCCATTAAACAATGAACAATAAAGCTCAAGCTGCTGGACTGTAAAAGCGATACTATCCTCTAGCACCATCTGGTGAAGTAAATGCGGATACACCTCACAAGGAGTAAAATAAAGGGAGGATACTTTTACGTGAGCAATGTAATCTTGGTTTCCTGGATTGCTTGAACCTTTGGAAAACAAATGAACGGAAACATGAACTAGGAGAGAATTTTTCTTTGTTTAGTTAACATATGTTGTAGGAAATGTTTACAAACTGAAGATAAATATATGTACTGTGTATAGTTGCATACTTACAAATTAAAAAGGTGATGCTGAGACATTTCAGGCACTAAAGCAGTGCTAAAAAGTCATCATAACGCATGAATCACAAATGGATCAACCAAATTCTGAGCCGTATTGCTACTATTAACTTCCCATTTGCTGTGTACTCTAAACATCTGTGTTGACACGAGGGCAATAACATGCAGCTAAATTACAATCAACATTTGTTTTATGTGAGAGGAAGCTGTAGGTTTGCTCTTTTGCATTTTCAAATATGGGAACAAAAGAAAAAAAACAGTGCTGCAGCTATTATATTGCAGTTTTTTCCAAAGTTGAGACATGAAAAAAGGGCCCACTGTAAGCACAGCAAACCTACCGGGTGCTGCATTTTCTTATAAGCGCTGGCCGCATCAAGGAGATGGTTGCAAGGCTCACATTTCATCTCCCCTGAGGAACATGAAGACGTCTAAATCAACATTTTCGACAGGATGCAATGCCAGGTTAACCAGATTCAGTAAAATGTCTTACAGTCCCATAGTATATAATGAAAATAAAGCCCGGAAAGATACGCAACAGGGGTACGGACAAAAACAGAGAGATCCTCTTGCACGTCTCACATACCTGATGGTTTCCTTTTTGCTGATAACTTAGCTTCAAGTTTTAAAATCAACTGCTGCTGGTCCTCGATCTGCTTTTGAAGTTTCTGAGTATATCGCTCATAGTGTTCACTCTGTAAAAATGAGTGAATAGGTCAACAATAACTGATTTATTGCTATCAGGCTGTGAACCAAAACAACATGAGAAGACACTTATTATTTTGCTGTATTGATAAAGTTTGGCACATTTCACACGCGTCGTTACCATTTGTTCCAGGTCCCTTTTAGCATTGTCCTTTTCAATGGTGACCTGGCGATAAGCTTCAAAGGCTTTGTTGAGCTGGTCTCCGATGTTCTTTTCCATGCCGTGTGCTCCACAATCATCCCTGACACAGCAGACATGAGCCCTACAAGCGAAACCCAGACGTTAGTGTTTCCAAACTTTCGAACTTACAGTGAAATGAAACACACCATGAAAGACAGCCCTTTTTAGTGAGTGAACCCTTTCACGTTGTTCTAAAAACAGCTTAAAGAGATGCCAAATTATGTGTTTCCTTGAAGTAAGATATGAATGCAATAACAAAACCGAGTAAAAGATTACGGTGATACAAATTGCATTGAAATATCAATGTCTCGTTCTAATTCTAACAAATAAGCCTTACATTTGTTGTTTGCTCTTGTCCAGCAAACAACTTTGGAGCAACTACAGCAGCACGCTTCTACTTTCTCTACAAGTTTACAAGCACATTGGAACATCTCGTCAAAAACCAAAAGGAGGCTGATCGGTGTCAGTCTCGCCTATAGAGCTGTCATCGATTATTGATAAACCCTCAACACACACACACACACACACACACACACACACACACACACACACACACACACACACAAGGTTAATAACCCCGTTCCCACCGAAAGCAAAGCGATTGCGCTGCAGCGACGCGAACTACCGCGGCGCAGCAGGGAAGCGCCTTAAAAACATGTCACTTAAAGCACTAATCCACAGTTCCGTATCCCTTAAAACCCGCAGGACAGCGGGTTCTGCTCATTCAACCGACCCGCGGGTCCAGCTGCTCCTCTCCGCCAATGAGCGAACGTCCTCTTACCTTCATTCGGAGCAAAACAATCCAAGTCCCCCCCAACTTTTTTTTCTCTTTTTTTTTTTTTTTGTAAAACCGGGCTTTGACACCGACGCAGCGTCGTCGCCTCAATCTCCAGATGCAGAGTCGCGAGGCGCCGGAGAGGATATGGCAACGTATGTTTTACATGGCCCGGTTGAGTTTTGGGAACTTCCCTCGGGGAATCCCCCTCGCGCTGCGGACTTCCGCCTTCGCTCGATCGCGACCAATCAGCGGCGAGCTGAGGGGAGCGCAGGGCGGTTTAGCTGCTCGAGGGTTCTTCCAGCCTGCGCGTCTGCAACCGACTGTTGTGCATGACAAAAACACACACACGCACGCACACACACACACACACACACACACACACACACACGCGATGACTGGAGACACACAGTGCTCGTTTTACTTTGCAACAGTACCTCTCGCGTTGTTGCATGTTCTGCAGATCCTGTCCAAAATAAGAGGAAGAGGGGTTATAGGTTTTAACTTTTCTGTCTGCCGTGTCAAAATAATGTAATTAAATGGGTTTACTTTTGTTGACATTGCACTTCAGTGGGGTAGCATTCCTTCACAAATGTGCAATTCATTAAATCAGCAAAGGATAATTGGCATTCTGACCTACATGCCCCTCTGAAGGCCAGAGGTGTTAGTTTATGTTTTGCTTATTAGATCATTCAGTTTATATGGAACCCACTAAAGTACAACTGTATTCTTTAATTGTGTGGCCCTGTCATGTGCTCAACTCAACAAGAGTTAACATACTTAATTTATTTTTTTAACTATCTTTGCAGTTGAACTTTGGAAAAGTGTATCCCTCCTTTAGGTCTGGTTTAAAAATATTAAGATGGTGAAAAATCAGTTGTGTTTAGTTAAACTGAGGCTTCTTTCTCAGGTCAAACGTCATAGCAGGAAAATAACAGGTTTTAATAAGGAAATGTGTGATCTCTGAACTCAAACTAAATAGATGGCCCCTTATTATTTTTTTTAGTAACACCTGTGCATCTCAAACAATGATAAGTAAAATTCTTTGCTGGTAAAAAAAACTTTTAATCTAAAAATGTTCTGTACCTTTTTTTTCGCCTTTTCTTCTTATTTATCATCAATTGTGCAACATATAATAATTTTATTTATCTTATTTTTAACGTGTTGCATAGTTTCTAACCTAAATAAGAATTGTATCCTCATTATTCTGTGTGTGCACATGTGACATAGCTGTAAATGAACTGGGCCCAGTGATCTAATTCCCTGCGGCGAGGTCAGAACTGTCACCACTGGAGGTCAGCAAACACAAATTATTCTTCAATCAATTGCAAATGAGACTAATCGTGATTAAGTGGACAGACCTCACTCCCACGCGGATGCATAATGAATAACAATTTCTCACACAGTCTGTATGGACACAAACACTTTGTGGCTTGACAGCAACAGCATCCAGGCGCGATCATCTGCTCTGCATTACACACATCTTGAGGTGAGCTCTGCTGAGCTGTGGTGCCCTCTGGCGATGCCGGTTAAGAACAAAAAGTAACTTGTGGCCACAATTTATACCACATGGGATGAGGTTGTGATGTGAAGGCCTCTTTATGCTCCTCCCCATCCACCTCTAAAAACGTGTTCTGAACCAATCCTACGAGTTCCCTGATGAGGAGGAGATAAGGATGACAGTTCAGTTGTTCCACAGCCAGCGGTGGACGATCAGCTCACATGGCTGTGCATGGCGGCCCTTCTGTTGCAGCAGTTCATTTTCCTTTGAAAAATGACAGGACAGACAACGTTTTGTTTTTTTAATTCTACATTCTTCCTCTTTGAATACTTCAGTGGCTTAATTCCCTCAAATACCCCGAACTATACACCCCGAGGCATGTGCGCATGTTTCACCGCTGTGGTACGCATATTTGTATAGTCTTGTTTCCAGCATGAACAAACAAAGTGATTCATGACGCAATACTCGGTCCTTGTGACAACCCGGGAATCCCCTCCTTATATCCACAGAACTAATGCATTTACCCCCTCATCAATCCCCCATTATCTTACTTGAAACTGTGTCTGCACATGATTTAGGCGTATCACTCGGACTCCTTGCTACGTTGTCAACTCTCCATAAAAAAGGGCAATCCAAAAAGTACCAGCTGGACAACATAATGACCAGTAGATGGCAGCCACGAGTAATCCATTGGGATGCTGTGTCTTTTTTTAACTTGATTTATAACAGATTTTAAAATAATTTAGTGGCCACAGTAGGTACAGTATAACACACTGATGTTGTAATACATTTTTAAAAAAAGTTGTAAGTGATCAGTTTTGACAGTGTCAATTGAAAGAGCAGATCCCACATGTGCCAGCGCCTTCAGTTTCCATGTAATATATTCCAAATCTACGTATGTTGTTAGTAATAATGATGCAAATTATCTTTTTCTTCAACGACCATAATACACTGGTACTGATAGCTTACATTACTTAAAGGCCCTTTAACGCGGTGACGTGGCAAAGCCTCAAATCAATTTTTAATCATGTAATAAATTACTGCACACAGTAACATTTTGTCATGAGTGAAATCTTAATCGTACTTTCTCACATTATGCTCCTTACCCCTCATGAGGCAGAGATGATGTGATTTTTGATTGGCAATTTATTTTTATCAAATCAAGTGTTTGTGCTTACAAAGACACAATGTTCCACTCTTTGTATTTCGCGATCCGCTGATATTAATGGATTAAAACTACCTTCAGAGCCGCGTATGAGCATTTTTCTTCCGTATCATCAGTCAGTGAATTAGTGCAGAGCTTTGTGGGGACCGTCCAGCACGGCGGGAGACCAGCGGCCCGGTTCCTCCCGGGATCGTTTCCTGGAGCCACAGATATTGTCGTCTTGACCCTCGCTGACATTCCAACATCAACCTCTGATCCTCCTGAGAATGACTTACACTCCCAGAGTGCCATCGATCGGTATGTGAAACAACAGGAACAGAATTCCATCTGAGAAGTGTCACATATTATTCGTGGGTGCTTTGAGTGACTCTTGTCTTGTGGTAAAGAACAATGACATCTTAGACTGTGGTGAACACAACGTAATTTACTCATAATAAGTCCCATTTTATTTCTTTCCTTTTAGCTGACTACTCAGAATGCAATATGTTACCCAAAAAAACAATACAATTAGGAATATTGCTGCAATATACTCTTTATTAAGTTCTCCTGTCATGCCTTGGGAAAGCTAAACCTCACTAGATGGGGAAATTGCAAACATAACATGACAGATTTATGAATACTTTGATGTAGCAGTCTTCTTTGTTTAGTCACTCTCTTTTTGTCTTTCTTACTTCCAAAGTACCAACAGTACTTGGAGTACCTCCCAATGTGCTTTCTTCACTCTCATGAATCATAATCTCCTCCACATAGCTCTGCCATGGATCATTGTCAGCTACGACGAAATATGTGTATTTCCGGGCGTTGCGAGACCACATATAATGAATTAACATCATACAACAACCCGTAGGGCTGAAAAGGAGACGGCGAACACGCAGCTTGCATTCATTATGAAGCATTGTTGCCTTCAGACTGGTTCTCAATCTCTGTTACATGCAGCCACCTAAAGCACATGCGCCCAATGTCCACATTAAAGTGAGCGGGGGGGGGGGGGTTCTGTTCCCCCAATGGACATATGTCAATACCCTGAGCTCACCACTTACTGTACAAGAGGACATCAGTGTTGCAAAGAGGCCTCATGCATGTTTGCAGAAATGATCTCTAGGGACAATCCCAAAGATGGCATGTAAAAGGATTGGTTGTTTTCTGTTGGTGGGGGTGGGGAGGGGGTTGCCCTTCGTCCATTAATACATCGGTGCGGTTTATTGAATGATCTGTTTACTTGGTATCCATATTTAGTTGGATGACTGGACTATTTGCATGCTCAATACCATGTATCTACTGGTGTGATCGTCTGCACCCCGGGCGCTCCGTCCCATTGTCCTTTGTGGTGTGTCGCTGGTGAAAGGGATAATAGGCTTAAAGGGGGCCTGATCTAGATACACATCACACTGGAGCCAGGCCGGAGCTCAGCAGTTGTAAATCTTGAGCCAATGTAAGGGTCCCTCCACGTTTTCCTCCATGTCTGGCAAAATAAACAATCTGCTGTGGGTCTGCAGAAATGTGGGATCAGACCGAGGGCAGAGCGGAGGACTCCGGCACTCCGGGGGGGAGAGGAGGAATGTAGGGGTGGGGGGGCACGCAGATCAGATTCCAGGAGCCCTAGAGAGAGGTGGAGGAGGATGAAACGAAACCTTGCTGTCAGGAGACCAAAAAACTACAAATGAAAGGAAAACGAATACTAAAAAAACGCAATGTCCCCTTTGTCGTTTCCCGCGTTGTCTACATTAAAATGTGTGTAGTGTGGTTTCATTCATCCAAATTGTTGTGCCAAAACAATCTTGACACTGTAAAGAGGTGCAATTGCTGTTTTATTTCTGGAATATGTGAAAGCGTGAGTGTCAGAGCAGAGCTGTGAGACACAGCAGTTGCCATCAGATGCCACAATAATGTTTTGGTCGAGGCTGCGGCCCAAAGAGCTTCCTGCTTTTTGAAGAGAACAGGATGGGAATGAGTCAAGTGTGAGAAGACATTTTTATTGAAGTCTTTTTTCATGGGGGGATTGTATTATTGTCAGTGTAACTTCACTCTTCTCCGCTCTTGTGGGCTAATCATTTTTTTCTCCAGCTAGGAGCAAAACTAGTAATTGTGGTTCTTTTTTATTAAAGGACCAACCTACTTGCTTTTACTTCAAACGCAATCTAATAAGATGTTACTCCAAACTCTATCTTTGAGGCAGAGAGTCTTTCCTGCAAGCGAATTGAATTTCCTGACTGATAGTGGGAGGAAGTTCTCTCCCTGTTCCTGTTTCATAAGAGCTAAACCACAAACCTCTCATTGAACAAAATGTTGTCTACATTACACTGTATGCAAAGTGAGTGGCATCAAACTAACTGAAACAGGAATATCTCTTTGATCGTCCTTTAAAGACTTGATTTTGTTACCAGATAGTATGACGCAAAAAATGATGCAGAAAGCTTGATAAGATTGATTGATTGATAGATTTTCAACAATCTTGCTAAGAACAAACCCTCGATTTTTGTTCAAAAATCAATATGTTTTAAGTATTTATCTTACTGCAAAATGTCATTGCGTTTGAACATTGTTAAGCCCCCAAAGTGAGCCAACCATACATTGTTGGTTGTCCTCAAATTGGTGCATTGATTTCTAATTTGTCAGTAGATAAGGCATTCCAAAATCAATGGACATGTTGGAGGGTCACAGCATTGCGTGCGTTTCTCGCAGTGGGTGAGGCATGTGAGATCGAGGACCCCACTGAATGCCTTTATTTCTGACTGGCTGTAGATTTCTCTCATCGCTGCTGCACAAACAAATTGTTGTGATTGTGATTTGCTGTGTGGAACATACCTGAATAAGCACCGAGCACGAGTTGGCGTCTGCTGTTCAAGCAAATGCTCTCCATTTATCAAAAATATATGGGGGGTTTTCTGAGAATATATACCATATACAAGTCGGTTATACAGCTTAGTAGGGTGAAATGGCACAAAATGTCAGTGGAGGTGGAACAAAACTGAAGAAGTGAAAGGACAAAAGAGGATATAAGAAGAACTTCCATTGCAGACTTCATATAAAGAGCCCTCCAGTGTTCTTCATTACCGAAGCTCATGAAAGTTGTATCAGAAGGAGACTTTGGGCTTCTCATATATGATTGCTACTAGCACCATGAAACTGAAAGCATGAATTCACACTATCCTACATTAACATGGAAATTCTATTTCTTGGTGCATTAGCAAATCGTCAAATCCGCTTCCTGTTGTGTGAATGGACTTTATAGAACAGGGACATTCATTCATGTTTTTTGTAATTAAAAAGGGATGGGAGGATGTATCTGAGGATTGAACTGCTCACCACATGACCAAACAAAGTCTCATTGTATAAAAAGTTAAATGAAAAAAAGGCCTTTATGTCAGTTTGGATTCTGCAGGATTATTGATATTTTAAAACAACAAAGTCAAAAATCATCACATCTTATTTGTCTCCTCAAACAGACAAACAACATGTGTCTCATTACTGAGTTTAACTGCACATTCGAGGCATAACAAGCTCGGCAAAGTAGTGATCATTTGGTAATATTTTGGCAGTTGATAGCAGGCTGCCTCCACCAAAGTAAATTTAAATGTATTGTTACGGGGAACGCATTGACTGCCATGGTGAGAACCCAGACAATGGCATTACGCTGCGGCTGAACAGCACCATACAGTGTTTTCAATAAAGTTTGGAGAGTTGCCTGGCAGCAGAATGTAAACAATGAAAGAGCCCTGTGGCCCTGCTCTTTATGTCAGTGTCAGGACTGAAAGAGCTGCCATTGTACACACATAACTCTCATTCTCAGGACATTTGACACGCGCAAAATGAGGGCAGGCTCAACAATAAAACCCTTCCTGCTGCTGTCAAGTACGTCCTCTTATTTGTTGGAAAGACATTCAGAAAATGTTCAAATATGTGTGTGTGAAATGTCAGTAGGTAGGAAGAATTGAGGAAAACCTTTTCGTACAACTTTTTGTGAGGACAATTTTAAAGAAGGCGCCATTTGTGTTTGCCTCCATGTTTGCATACTGGTTTTACATCACTTCATAAAGTACTGTCGGGGACCAATGGAACTGAATTGCCATTTATCATCAAAGCTTTAGTCTTTTTTATGTAGAAATATAGAAATATGTATGAGATGTCGTAATGGACACTGAAAATCACTGCGATACGAAATGTCCATCATAACATCTTATATAAGATGGTTGCAGTGATTTTCCGTTTCCAATATTTTGATTTCTAAATAACCTTCACAAAAAATGAGTCACGTCTTGATGGGTTACAGAGAATCTTGGAATAAAGACTAGGATAGACCGTCTGGTTAATTAAAAGCCTAACCATATTCTATAAACTTTAGTCATCCACAATTGCTCATTTTTACATGGAACCAGTAAGGTGACTCATTCACTTTTGGATAACCGAGCAGGGCTTTTATGCCTGCACCTCCTTCAACCCCCCTTCCTCACCCACACCTAAATAAGGGACCAGAGCTTTGAATATGGCCTGTGTTCCGGGTGACACACACACAGGAACTCACAGCTCTCTTTTGTGGCAGAGTTAACAGTCAAGAGTCAGGGGAAATTAATCAGCTCGTTACACGCAGGAAGAAAGGTACAGAGGCTCTTATTAAAATCTTCTATGAGCAGCTAAAATACATCTCGGGAATCCAAAACAGAGATCGAGTGAGGAGAAATCTCTCTCTCTCTCTCTCTCTCTCTCTCTCTCTCTCTCTCTCTCTCTCTCTCTCTCTCTCTCTCTCTCTCTCTTTTGACTGCAATTGCTGTTTGCTCGGACAAAACAGAGAGCAACATTTTCTTCATAAACCTCAGCTAGTAGAGACTATTTTCATTAGCTCCTGGAGGGGTGAGACAAGTAGCACAAGGTCCTAAAATAACCACTCTCTCTTATTTCCCTTGGAAATACCCATCTTTGCATCAATGCATGTTTGTACCTGTTTGAGTGACTGTGCATGCGCAATCTAAACTCCCAATGAAAGGAGATCACCTTCAGGGTAACAGCATGCACTCTGGTTATCTAAAGGCTGCTCTTTACTATGAAAACAACCTGAGCAGGGATTTGGGATTTATTTGTATATACTGCAGGCTGCAGATTCAAGTGGGATGGAAAAGCAATGGGATACATTGGTTTATATAGGTGTTGCTATGGGGCTACACAAACGCAGGGATCAGGGATCACCTTTCCTTTCACGGTTTCATAAAAGGTGGTGTTCAATTGCCTCTCTGGCACCCCGAGCAGAGTGCTGAATCAGAGCCTTCCTTTAATGCTGACCCACTGACTCCCTACAGCTCTGCTGGTGACCTTTGCTTCCATTTGGGGAAGGCATATAGCATATCACACCTAAGTGTGGCTACATCAATATCATAGGAGGTTCTCAAGGCTAATTTCTGTTGGAGACAGCACCGAGGACCCACTTTTACACCGTTCGGCCAAAGCAGAGCCCCGCGGTCACTCAAGATGTTATCACACTGCGCCGTCTGGGTCGATGAGAACGGCCAAAAAAATAACACAGGGAGTTATTTGTTCTCGCGGACAATGGTGACACGAAACAACTGTTATCAGCAACTGTGACCCAAAATCCGGAAAACCACAGGGTTCATGTGTTGAGTCAGAAGAAGACAGCAGCCATAGCGTGGTGCTTCTACCTTGCTGAAGGTTGCCATTAATCCCCATTTTCTGCAGCCACCAGTGTTGGTTTTCCAATCAGCAGGTGTCAGCGGTGGGTAGATTGCTTTTGATTTATAGCTCAGCCTGTCCCTTTTACCTGCTCAACAAAGACTTCCCCCACCACACAAACCACCAGCACCAGCTCTCACTCACATCAAGAGAATCCTCCTGCACACGATGCATAATAAAAGCCATCTCTTTCAACAGAACATTTTGTACTGATAGACGTCATGTTGAAAAAGGTCACACCTTAAAGGAATAATGTAAAGCGATGTTTACAAATAATCCTAATCTAGTTGTTTCTAGATATGCAGATTATTTATGTTTTATTGCGGTATTCACTGGGCTGATCATTTACTCCAGTAACAACACTTCCTGAGACATGTTTGTTTGTATGGACATGTATTGGACATGTTTGTTTGACATGGAGCCCGGCTGCTCCATGTCCCATGTCGAATTGTCCCTGAGCAAGACACCTAACCCCTAATTGCTCCCCGGGCAAAAATGTAAAAGCCGTGGGTTAAAAATGCAATGTAAGTCGCTTTGGCTAAATTACGTGTAATGTAATGTAATGTATGGGCTTATTGTGTGTTAAAATAGTGTGCATTCTCTTTCCAAACGGATGCCTTTTAATTTGCCTTATTAAAGCTGAATGCTTATTCAAACCGAACATAGCTAAGCTTGATTCTTTTTTTACCACTTCTGATAGCATTCTCCATTGTGTGAGAGTCAAACTCAGAAACCTGCCAGGATATCACATGGAGCAGCCTTGACGGCGGAATGTTTGGTATGCATCTTTTAATACACGAACAACAGGTGTAAACAGTGTCTCCTTGATATGCATTTGTACAACGAAACACTATAGATTATCATACACGAAAATACATCAAATACGAGCTGGAAATAAATACTACTAAATTCTCATCAGAGCGAAAAGATGCCAAATGATGTGTATTTTGGGATCGTTCTTTAAAACAAACACCCCTACACTAAATCTCGGAATGGTTTCGCCCACCGTGGCAGCGTCCGTCCTGCGCAGAGCTGACTGCAAATCAATGAAGCCAGTCAAACAAACGGGGCTGGGCAGTCCAAGTTGGGACAATTTACGGAGGTTTCTGTGGCCGCGTAGTCGACGACAATAAGGATATGTATATAGCTAATATGAATGGAATTCTATTTTTGTGTCTTCTAGCGGAGTAAGGAGGAAATCCGTGATCCCAATCACTTTCTTATACTAGGAGTTTGATGTATTTCGCTTCTGAAATTTGTGTCGCTTAACTGAGAAAAGAAACTACCCTCTCTATTTCAATTTGAGGATGATTTTTGCCAATTCCGGAAACCCACCAAGGACCCCGTATCGCAAACAGGTAAACAACGCTCAACTCTTGCAGCACAAAGCTGATAGAAGTCGCTAAAGAATTTTAAAAAAATATAGCAGGCACATCTGACAGCAGCTCATCAGCCTAAATAAACCTGAAACCGACGCTGAAACAGATAAACGGAACACACCACTTTGCTTTCGGCCCGTGTTGTTTGTTTCTGTGTGTGATGAAGCATTCTTCTGCATACCGAGGATACCTGCTGCTCGGGCTGTGGTCCACTCCTGGAGAGATAAAGGCCTCACCTCAGTGGATGTAATGGCAATGGTGGCCACATAGCAAAATAGTCGGCTAATCCTTGTTAATTGCTTAACTTTTACTTATTTTTGGCTCATGAGTAAAGAACACATGCAACGCACACCTCCACAGAAACAGATGTCTGCAGTTTCCAGAGTCTATTTTTGGGCTTAGTTTGGACGAGCGAAGCGAACGCTTTTCTGCTTCTATTTGGTCAATCTTCAGGTATTTAAACCAAAGGTCACCTTAAATATAATGCATTTGCCCTATTTTTCTTGCAATTAAGTTGTCTCGCGGTTGTCCTGGCCGATAAAATGGACGTTTCTTCTCCTTTTTAAAAAGAAACTCCCTTCAGCCAGATGATTTGAATGAGCGTATTTACTCTGAATTGCTCGTGCTCTTATCCTGTGGCTAGAGCTCCATGGGCGAGGCCTTTTACTGGAAGCCCTGTGTATTTCCAGTTCGGATATGACCGGCTCTGGCAGTCTGGGGCTGGCTGATAAGGTGCCGTCCTCTCCCCATCACAGTCATTTTACAGTCCTGGCAGTATGAAAACAAAATTTGCTTGCAGTGCCACAGAAAAAAAAAAAAGAAGTTTATCACTTTTAGCCCAGAATGTAAAATCTCACGTCAAGGCTCCGTGTTCTTTAACGACTGACTTGTCTCGTGTGCTGGTTCACATGTTATGAATTATTGCTTGATTCTATCTAATGCATGCATCAACAAAAACATCAAATAAAACCTATGAAAGATTCAATGAAAAAGGTGTTGAGCAGGTTATCGCTGTTTTTCTTTTAGTTGCTTACGTAAAGATATTCGTACGGAAGATTCGCTTTGTATCTCCAGCATCTACCTAAAGATTGCAGGAAGGAAATCGCTGAGGCTTAAAATAAATGAACAAGTCAGCATTTAACATTCAAGAACGAATAAGCTGTAACCGAGCCCTTGTTTAAACGCCTTGTGCCTGGGCATAATAATTGAGACCTAATACTAGAACTAATACTGTGACAAATGCCACCTTTACTGGGGCACCGAGTCTTTTAAGAAATAAGGATTTGGTGCCACACTGAGATTTAATCAGGATAAGGAGTAATTCCGTTTTCATCGGTGATTACTGTTTAGTAAGTTTTTGGCCTCGCTGTAGTTATCTGTGATTCTGGTAAGGGCTCGTCAAGAGCACAAGTGGGGCATGTTTCTTCTTTTTAAATTTCTTTTTTTTTATTTATTTAATTTCCTAAGAATTGCAAACTCCTACGTTTTAGCTGGTCTCTTTGTGGCGATTAATGAAGGCCAGTTTTATCAGATGTACCAAGATAATCCTTGCTCTCTAATTTGACTTTAGCTCTCATCATATGCTGGAAGCGTGCCCCTCGTTTGAACTTTTGTGACCCAGATCGTCGCGTAAGAAAGCAGATGATTGGTTGTTGTGATGGAGAGAGAGAAAAAAAAAAAAGCAGCGAGGACTTCACGCTGAAGGCATGTGAGGCTGCTGGCCGGTCGGTCACGATCCTCTCGCCTTGACTCGGGTTGCTCCATCCTGTCACCGCTTCATGCTTGCGATTCCATCAGCTTTCTCTCAGCTTGTGATCCCTTGGGGAGGGGAGGAGGTAGTGGGGAGGCGGGGGAGGGGGTAAGTCAAGATTTGTCTTCTGGATAGTAAAGAGGACAAATCCAGCAGGGAGAGAGTTCTCTCCGACTACGACATCTGTGTCTTGTCAACGTAAAGCAAAAAGTTGACCGATCTTTTGAAGGATTTTAGAGAGATGCATTAAAAGAAATACTTCTTTTAGAATAGAAAAAATACATTTAAAAAATGAATCGCATGTATAAATTTTCAGCAGAGTATACGTAGAGTTAGTTGTTTGTGTGTTATGTAACCTCAGAGCCCAAATTCCAGAGGTTGCTCAAACTGTTCTCAGTGTCTTTCCAAAGCGGCCGGCTAATGAGCGTTCTGCGGTCAAGAAGCTACAAGCCCCTGTAGACTCTCATTGTGCTGACTGCAGAGCGTGAATGGAGATGGTTCTGCTCTAACAAAAACAAAAAAAAAGGAAACTCGTATGGACAGGAACCGACGTGACACTGACATGTGATTAGGTCACACAAACGGGCCTTGAGAATGAGTAATTGCACACAGAAACACTAATCGTGTCTGTTTGGTTTCTTTGGCCATTTACTGGACGCAACAGAAAGCTTCTTTTGGCTCTAAAAAGCCGCTGTGTGCTGCTCGCCCAGCACCAGTCCGCAGACAGAGCCAGTTATCAGCCAGTCGGTGCACATACTGAAGTTTTGTTTTCTATCGTAATAATTTCCCCCAGGAGTTGGTGGCGCGCTGAACAGAGCTGTAGGAGAAGCCCTATTGGCCTTCCACACAGCAGATGGCCAGAAACACAACTGTAAATGAATGCTGATGTTACTCTGAATGTGTGTGTGTGTGTATAATCTATTTTTTGAAGGTGAAAATGAGGCAATATATTGTATTCAGCTTGTTATTGTTACTGCACCGCACTCTTATTACTAAAAGCATTCATTGGAAGTGTTGCAACCTAACTTCCCTCTGCAAAATCGTATTTCCGCTGACCTCCCGTGGGTTAATTTCTCACCCTGCTGCAGTAGTGTACGAGCGTCCTGCAGGGTCTCTCACTACGCCGCCACCTCAGAGGCGCGCTTTGTACCAACACCGATTAGGGACGCCGGTGACCGGCCGTCATTCACGTAGAAGACTTCAAACCGTGCCGCTGAACTCTGTCATCTAGTCGCCACACCCGTCCTGAAGTTGAATTCAACCCAGTTTTTGTTGTATTCCAGCCACCTGTTGCTCCGTCGCCACACCCCATGGCTCCACCCAGCCCGAGCAACAACTGCAGCAGCAGCAGCAGCAATGCAGGCTGGGACCAGCTCAGCAAAACCAACCTGTACATCCGAGGCCTGTCCCCTTCCACCACGGACCATGACCTGGTCAAGCTCTGTCAGCCGTGAGTAGGCCCGCAACACTTCCTGTCACTATCATCTGCCATCGATCGGCCATTGATTTTTTTTGGCCTTCTTTTTCTGCGGTTTTTAGAGCGTGTTTAGAAATCAGCAGTGGCGGTCACTCGGTGTAAAAATGTGAAAGGTTAGAGATGGATATTTTAGTCACACTTATTTTATTGGGGTATCAGAATTTTTGGAAGTTGTGGTAGTACAACTTTTTCCTTTCTAATAAAATCGTGCCATACGATCAAGTTCAGATCAAGAACCCATTTTTCGATTTGATCATCTTTTTTTATCAACAATAAGAGTGTGTGGTGAGACATACGCGACCTATATGAGCGTGTGCGGTACAGCAGCAAAGGCTCATATATCATGTGTGTTGGTGGATAAAGGAGCGATATTGTCAGTATCACCCACAAGCTCTCTTTGTGCGCTGAAGGCCGTATTTGTTAAGCAGAGACCACCCTGGTGCCTTTTGAGATTTTTATTTGCTCTTTTTTTTCCTGGGGCGCTGTCTTCAACAAGCCAAAGCTTCAAATGCATCATTTGTGTCTTTTAGTACACCACGTGTTAAAATCGGCACCAGCAGTGACACTGTATTTTATTGTTCTTTATTTGATTAAATGGAGAATTCAGACGAATAAAAAGCCAACCACGAAAGGCTTTTACTGGGTGAATCTCTTGAATTGATCCTAAAATAGGAGTACTATAGATGTACATGCTGTAGTAAACAGTATATTTTAAATAATTCATGTACATTACAACTCTCCCAATTGTTGTTGAGTGAAAACGCAAACAATCAATCATTTTTTTCCTCTGCCGTGTGCCATAAAACATGCATGGTGTCTTTGGTAACGTAGCCTGTTTAAAGTTGCACACAGTGGTTTGCATTTAAAAAAAAGAGACTGTTTAACTTTGCACTCACATTTTCAGCACCACATGGAAACCGCTTCCTGTTCTCATATTTTTACGGTGATGTCATAGCTTGTTGCTCAACCCTCCCTCTCTGCGGGTTTTATAACTGGCTCAGTCTGGCACATAATCCAGCTAACAATGCCTCGCCTTTTTGCTCCTCCCCTAGGTATGGCAGAATTGTATCAACAAAGGCCATCATGGACAAGACGACAAACAAATGCAAAGGTGTGTGACGCTCTGTTTTTCAGCACGGCCTTCTTTTGTCTGTCCCCCTGACTGAAGCATTCGTCACAAACTCACGACTATCCCTGCGGGGCTTTTAAGTGAGGACAATGGTAGACGGCCACTGTGGGGATTCTGTCAAAACATCATGTCATTCAACAGCTATGCAGTTGTGTCAGATGATCTGGGCAAGTCAGGAAACAGACAGCCCGGCTGCTCCAAGCTGCCTCCCAGATGATGTTATTTTAAGCCTCGGCCCTCGTCTGTCGGCTAGTCACTGCCGCCGGGGCTTCCTGGGAAGAAGGTTGACGACTCCTCCTCTTTCTGCCGAGCCCATTTCTAGTAAACTGGCCATCGGACTAAAGAGGGAGTTGCTCATTCTCCTCCGTGCTGATGGGAGTAAGATAAAGCCTAATTTATGCTTCTGCGTTTTCAGAGCGACGCAGATGCAAGACCCCCTTGCGTGTCCCTTTGCGTGCCTTTTCACACCTCCTTGCGTCCTTGCGTGTGTCGACCCATTTTTCTAGCGCGCATCAGGCTGTGATTGGTCTGCTAACTACATCCTTTACGGAGTCACACATTTCTGTTTTCATAGCCCAATACCACCATTATTAAAACGAAGAATGTTTACGAGAGAACGGATCAGATTGAAGAACTTTTGTGGGAAGAAATGCGTAAATATGACCGCTTATACAAGCCGACATTGGCGGGTTGTAGAAGCGGGTTGGATTCACGGAGGGAGATCGCCGCAAACGCCGGTTTGCCGGTGGAGAGGTGCACAAAGTTGTGGAGGAAAATACGGGACAAATGTGTCTGCGATGAAAAGCAGCAGTGGCGATGCACGAGGCAATAAAGTCTATGATAAATAAATTAAACAAATACATAAATAGACGTGACTCTCTAGGTCGTCTTCAACAAAAACACGTTACTCCGCCTGTTGTTCTGGAGGTGAATTGCTCTGCAACACACGCAGAACCATGAATTGAAACGAGTGCGTCGAGGCAACGACGCAGAAGCATGCGCCGGCCTTAATGCTGTACCTCTCCTCTGGATTATACAGAAAAGGGAAACGGGACATGGCTGAAGACCTTGTAAAGCTCCGACTCAATTTATCATAAATCCAAAGAGAGGGTTGAGCATTAACCCTGTGCAACCTTGAATTACTCAATATTTTGACGGATATCGCAGTAATCCTGCGTCTCAATTCGTATGCGCTGTTCTCAAACGTCCATGCAGTACACCGCATAATCACAAAGCTACGCCGTTATCTGTGTCGCCCATTCGATTTGGTTGCAACTCCTTAACGGGCCCCCCATTCACAGGTTTTTGTGGCCCCTCCGTGGCGGCTTCGGCGCTTAGATGGTAACCATTGAGGGTGAGGAGCATTCCATAGGCAACTTTAGGACTCTTACAAGTATACCGTCCGGGTGCATTTTGCCGTACTTGTCGATGTGACTCTGCTGAAAGCGCACCACACAAATTCCCCACGATCAAATTTGAAAAGGTTAAATACGGCAGTGGCAGCAGAGGTGAGGGACTATAGGTTGACCCCCCCCTTGCGCCCCCCTCATAACAAAGAGCTGACCTAAACCATGAAGGTCACCCTGGTATCTGCGTCCTCAGCACTTTTCTACCTCTCCTTCCACACAAACAAACAAAAGCTGTCATGAATGCAGTGTGCACGCAGTCAAATATAGTAATACAATGCAAAAGTATGTACATATGAAAACATACGCCTTGTCAATTTTGTTATATCCACCAATGAGCACTCAACCCATCCCCGTCCGGCACGCAGAGGTCGGCCCACTCGGCACTCAGTCATTTCTTATTAACAGGCCATACAGAACATTGTCCTGACCGCGCTGCTCGTCTCCTCAGGATACGGCTTTGTGGACTTCGACAGCCCCGCCGCTGCTCAGAAAGCTGTGGCAGCCCTGAAGACCACCGGTGTCCAAGCTCAAATGGCAAAGGTGAGGATTCGTAACAGTCTAATCCCCATATCGCGCTCATGCACGTCACCCAGTGACCCTGTTTCTCTTCCGTCCGACTGGCAACCAGGACACCTAAGCCTAATCTTTGTGGTATTCGATAGCAGGGCTGGAATCCCTGACTGCGCTCGGTGGTGACTGAGTGTGCACTGATGAAAGTAAATTACAGAGTTTGCATGAAGAGAACTCCAATTGGATTTTTCGGCGCAATCTAACACCAAATTGACTGAGGGACTTGCATCAGTTTTCCAGAAGCAATGTGACAAATGTGCACAGGGTGGTTGAAGTTTGAATGCCTCATTTTGAGTGTGAATAGTGGCGGGGGGCGGTTTTTGATATTTAATGACCGGCGAGGCCACAATGTTGCGCTCTAGGCCACAATGTTGCGCTCTAATTTGTTTTGACGCGACATTTGCAGTGAGCACTTGAACGGTCGTATTCTATTGAGACTTCTGCCGTGTCGTTATAACAGTACGCTGCTTTTCATGCTGATTTCTACGCTGCCCTCTACGTTGCTGCTTTCCGTGTAGTTGGACTCCTGTTTACACACATACATATGCGTGTTTCCGTGCATGCGTATACTGTAAATCTTGGACGGTTCCCAAAGGTATTCTGTCAGCTTACAGCTCCTAGCCGGCCTTTTGCATACAGCACTTAAACTATTAGAGGGTTGTTGATGACGTAGCAGAGACATTATCCACCATGTGGACATGTTTAGGTGACGGGTCTTTCCATCTCCACCACAGAACCATTACCACACGTCCAGAGACCCGAAGTCTTATTGTACTTAAATCTTTGAAAAATGAGAAATATTCACAAGCATTGCAGGAAATACCAAACAAATCTGAAAGTGGGAGTTACTGTAGATCGTTCCGTTAAAGAGATGGATCAAACTAAAGTTTTATAGATGTGTGGACAGACGGTCATTAATGCACCATAGATCAAGCTTTACAAGATTGTTATAGTACTGTATTACTTTACTACACTGTCATCAGTAAAATAAGTAAATATTTGTGTGTTGTTATGGGAACAGGAACCTGTCAGGGCAAATTAGTTCCCATACGACACTGAGCAAGAACCCGTGGCCTCATTTCCCTGTCTGGGGATCTGTAGAGCTCCTCGACATGCCTCTGTGCACCCATTTTACTTTTTTAATTAAAATAGAGCAGCTCCAAGGGGCATGCTGAAGTTTAATCTTTGTATTGTGGGAGGTAAATGCCATTATAAAGTGTGAGCCTTTCACTCCAGCTTTATTCTCACTATTGCTGAAGCTTGTTTGGGCTTAATGGACTCTCTGACAAAGGTCTCTTTCCTGTTTTTTATCTGCCCAGGAACCCTTAATGGACTTTCTCTCATTATTATTTTAAAGGCAGGTGGTGGGAAGTGGCCAGATAAGAGTTTGCCTTCTTTTTACCATGCGTTAAATGAAGTTCTGGTAATACTTGATTATGTGTTACCCTTTCTCTATATGCATATAGGGGTTAATTAGTTTTTTTAAATGTCATATCGTCAATGTATCAATGTATATCATGGAATTCTTTTAGCTGTTTTAAGTTGAGATACATATATAATAAGACGACCATCGTTTTAGTATTGTTTAAAGTCCAACCTCTGGATGGGCAGACTGTCTGCAGAGGAAGTGAAAGAAAAGAACTCTCTTTCTTCGCCCGCTTGTCAGGGCCCATGAGCAAGACACTGAGACGTTACTGGGCACTCACCCAGAGTGAACGTGGAGTCATTTTGTTGGCATAAATTCTATAGCAAAATATCCCGGTTAAGTAACTGTAAAAGTACCTATTGCAGATCACGTGCTTTTCACAGCATCCTGTGAATGTTGGGCGGTGACCCATTCAAACGGATCTCTTATCTCGCTGCCATGGGGTTTTCTCTCCGCTTCTTTTAATTGTCTTTCATACATACTGTGGGTTTTCTTTCTTTTCAAATGTATCTCGGATAATGAGTCAGTAGAAAAGCAGAGATGCTGCTATTGGTTGACTTACTTCTCCATCCACCTCACCGTAAAGACTTTCTTTGAATAAGTCCGATATGATTTTATTCTAATAAAATAAAAAAATGCAAGCTGTATCTTAAAATAATGAAAAGGTAACGTGGACAAACATTTTATCAATTGCTTAATCAAACACTTCCAGGTGCAAATGCTCAGCTTTTCGTAACAAAAAATATAAGCATTAATATATTTATATGCACGTCTGCGTACATTCAAGCAAGAAGGTTTGCTGTCTTTTGAGTTCTGAGACCTTCTGGACCAACTCCTTTTGATATTATTCCTTTCCTGTGTTTTGTTTAACATTTTGTTTAAATGTTCACTCTACTGACAGAATACCAAATGAGCTCGTCCCTGAAGCTGACTCTGAACATCACAGCACTGATAAATATTTATGGCCTCAGGCCGCTTCCCAGGGACTCGTTTGGCGTCTTATGTTTCTGCTGATGCATCAACAAGAAATCAGCTGATGCCTCAAGCCGCTGTGGGCTGCATGCAAATGTCTTTCCATCACTGGTCACAGTGACCCTTTAGTGACTAAAGTCCCCAACCGAGACAGACGGGAAGCTGCAGCGCCGTGTTAACCCAATCACTTTTAAAGTCTGTAAAACATTTAGCCGCTTGTAGGGATACACCATATGGAATTGTCAGGAACCCCCCCCCCCCCCACCCCTCGATGGGAATGTGATCCCTTAAAAGAATGTCTTTGTGTTTTTCCAGGTGTCCTACAGTGTCATTATGTTACTTCTGGTTTCTTCTTCCCACTTCCCCCACTCTTCCCTCTCCCCCGTCCAGCAACAAGAACAAGACCCGACAAACCTGTACATCTCCAACTTGCCCACGTCTATGGACGAGCAGGAACTGGAGAGCATGTTGAAGCACTTCGGACAGGTCATATCCACACGCATCTTGAGGGACTCCACTGGATGGAGCAGAGGAGTCGGCTTTGCGAGGTCAGATCCTTGTTTTGAACGGCGTCAATGACTCATGGTCCCCAAAGGATATTAAGGGTTAAATGTCTATATTTATTTTTTTCTTGTGTGACATTTTGGATTTAAACTATAACTATATGAAATATGACCCAAAGGTATGATTAAACAAAACAAAGGATCTCCCGGTGTCATTCTGGGTTCCTTCCGGGTTCTCTGGCTGCCTCCCACGGATCAAAGACATGCAGCTTAGCTCAATTGATGACTCAATTAATTAAATTGTCCATTGGTGTGAATGTGAGACTGAATGGCTTGCTGGTATATATGTCCGCCATGCAAGATAGTGGCAACCTGTGCAGGGTGTGGCCTGACCTCGCCTGTAGTCAGCTGGCACCAGAACAGGATAAGCGGTAAAAGATAATGGATGGATGCACCAGAGAAACGGAAGTGGTTTCAAGGACGGGTCACAAGTGGCCTGTAAAGTGACGAAAACTCCCAAATTATCAAAAACGTTTTAAAACAAATTTCGGTTTGCTGAATACGGAATGGGTTTCATTTTTAAAAACGAATTGCAAAAAAGTTACTGACACCAAGGCAGAGACGACATGCATGAAGGGAAACTCCTTAAGATAAATAGTTTCACAATGACGGGGTGATTTAACGATACCAGCAGTGCTGGCTTTCACGCGTCATAGATGCACAACCTGACGTTTGACGGAAATACCTGACAGGCACGTCCCATGGTCTTAATTGACAAATGATATGACGCATCAGAGGAATGTTTGTGTGAGTGGGTGTGTGTTCATGGTGGAGACCATTCCCGTATAACATATGCGCTCTGCTTCCTTTGATGTTGACGCTGTCACACCGACAGGAAGGAAGCCGTTCACTAATGCAGTTACGCTGTCTGTGTCTTTCATGACCTCAGGATGGAGTCAACTGAAAAATGCGACGCAGTCATTTCCCACTTCAATGGAAAGTTCATTAAGACAGCCGCAGGCGCTCCAGGTAAGAATCCAAAGATAATCGTCCAATGTTTCCAGGTCTAGTTTGAATGCCATGCGATATAAACAACAATTGAGAGAATGTATCCAGATTTATCTCATAATGGCTGTGTAGCGGTTACAATGTTAATAGGCTGGATGAAGTGGTCAGCCAACTAATTCTTGCCTCCAGCTGGAGTCAGTGAGTCTGCTCACATACTCTCAGCCCTAAAGGGAGGAGCACAGACAAAGAACGTAAGAGCGAGAGAGAGCGAGAGGGAGAGAGAGCTGCTCTGTGTGGCCTCCGCTCCCTCGCTAAGCTTTTTAATTGGATTATTAGACTGAAATAGTCTCTGCTGGCCATGCCTCCTTTAGGAAGGGGAGGGGATTACAGCTCCACAGCTGCCAAGCTAGATGTCTGCGTTCCCAGGCTGGCTAGTAAATGGGCACTCCCAGGGTTTCGGGGGGGGGGGGGCTGTATGGCAAAGAATAACAGACTGCCACGTACGTGACAGTCTTGAAGACAAACATTTGATCTCATTCTCTGGACGCTTATCTCTTCTTTAGCGCCCTCCGAACCGTTGCTGTGCAAGTTTGCAGATGGTGGACAGAAAAAGCGACAAAGTCAAAACAAATTTTCCCTGAATGGTCGCGGTTGGGGACGGGACGGAGACAACAGATTGGTAAGTGGTGATGGGAACCAAAGCCTGACAAATAAAGGACACCTAGGTGCATCTAAAATGTTGAATGACAAACATCCGTTTCACTCAGTGTACCAAATATTGACGAAGGCCCTTCAGATTGACTTTATTGCTTGGTGTTGCCGAAGAGTCGCCCTCTATAAATCTCATGGATCTGTAGCTACTCGCTTTTCTTCCTCATCATCCGGGTTACGCTCCCCGCTGTTAATGACGACTGCCCCAGGACGATGTCGTCTCGGTTGAGTGCCAGTGCTGCATGCCACTGTTGAGTTGCCAAACCTGTGGTTTCCTTTGTTCCCAGGCTGGAATGACGCTCACGTATGACCCCAGTGCAGCTGCTATGCAAAATGGGTAGGCTGAAACCACAGATCAGATTACTCTGTCACAGTCAGCGAAAACAAATTGTGGTAGCGAATTTTTCATTTCATGTCATTGCTCACTCCCTTCTGTGTCCTCAGATTTTTCCCACCAGCGTACAGCATCTCAAACCGGATGATCGCTCAAACGTCCATGTCTCCATACATGTCTCCGCTTTCAGCCTACCAGGTTTGAACCCCTCCTTTCAGTGACCGAAATGTAGCTTTAATATTGTATGGCCCAACTAAGACAAAGCATTGCATTCATCTGTATTACATGCAGGAACTTGTTAATAAAACATGTGTCTTCAGGATTCAGAAACCTGTCCTCTTGAGGTGTGGATTCTATATGTGAAAGGGCAGAGTGGCCTTTCGTCGTTGTTGCTGCGGCTGTCACACTAGCATGTGATCTCTGGAAATGGCAGCTGTTCAATGCCAGCGTGTTTACAGAGTGTGTTTGTGTGCTGCTCCAGGTGCAGAACCCATCCTGGGTGTCCCATCAACCCTACATCATGCAGCACCCAGTAAGAACAGCCTCTCTCTCGACCTTCTCATAATCGCAACTCTAGTCTTCCCTTTTAATCCGAACATTTCCCTCTGTGGGCGTAACAGAATTGAATCATTTTTCTGTAAACAGACAGGCACAATATTGGAGAGTTGTAGTTACACATACGGTGATCCTTGAGGATTTACAGTACTAAAGTGTTTGCATAGGAATGTAAAAACGACTGCTTTGGAGAGGCTATGTGAAGCTGTGTCTTTGATGACAGATGCTGAGGATTTTTTTTTGTCACAGATGGGTTTTGAACTGAGAGAGAAGACTCTTTTCTTGCTTTGAAAACGAGCCAGCATAGATGAGAAAACACTGCTAGATGCATCAGGCCAGCCAACATGCTCGCAGACAACTTGCTCAGCCTGTTACATTTCACCTTCTGGTGTGGGCTTTAGATGTGAAGTCTGAGATTACTGTTACTCTCTGACTGAAAACCAATCCTGCAAAAAACCCAAACGCATGTACATCCCTGATATTCTGCACACTCTCAGTGACATTCTATCACGTGTAAGCCACTCGGATTTTGACAAGTATTTTAGTAGACAAAACCAAATATCGACTTAGTGTGTGTTGCACAAGCTGCATACATTCCTCTCAAACATGCACACTTCTTCTTCAGGGTGCAGTGCTATCGCCCTCTATGGACCCATCTATGTCACTACAGCCCACTTCCATGATGGCCCCTCTCGCGCAGCAGATGAGTCATCTTTCCCTGGGCAGTGCAGGAACGGTGAGTGAACTCTGCATGGGATCAGAAATGAGTTCACACGTTACAGTTATTTGAGAACGAGGTGTTTTAAAGTGCTCGGTCAAACTGTCCATCGCACGGATCATCTCCTCTTCTTCCTCACGCAGTTCATGGCCGCCAACGCAGCCATGCAAGGCGCATACATCCCGCAGTACGCGCACATGCAGACATCCAATGTTCCCGCCGAGGTACGCGCACCGACGTCGCTGCAGCATCGTGTTTGTGCAAAGTGGGATTTTAGAAAACTGCTCATTTGTTGTTTTTTTCGCTGTCTTCCAGGAAAACGGTGCACAGTCACAAATGGATTCATCGGGCAATCATTCCCCATATTCCTACCAGCAAACAAAGTAGGGCTGAGGTAACACTTGGACAACCGCTAAAACAATCGTGTCTACAAAGGCAACGGATGCTGAGGATCTCTTCACTGTTTTGCACAGGTTCTGCAGACTTTAGTGAGACTATTTTTGGTGTCATTTTCATAAAGAATATCTAAGTTCGTTCAGTTCAAATTCTGAGTATACATATGTCTATGTTTTATATATAGATATATGTATTTGTGGAATTTGAAAAAGGTTTATTTTCTTACTTACTTAGAAAACATTTATTTTTTAATCAAGGCTTGCCGCAAGATACATGGAAGAGTCATGTGACTAGTTGTTCGAAGTGCATCGTAGTAAATGTCTTTTGTTAATATTTCTGGATTTTTTTTTTTTTATTCCGAGGACTTTTTTTTGAAAATGCTGTTTTTGTGCTTGCTGTGTGAGTGTTGCCATGGTGAAGTGTTGCGTGTTGTGTTCTTGTAAAGTGATTTCTCTTAGTAGTTTGAGCTTGCTGTCTAATTATAATTGGTTTTAATACAGTCGTTGTACAGAACATCGCAGAGAGCAACAATGGGCAAAACAATGTTGAGAGCTGGAAACGACGTTTTAATGAAATCTGCTATTGCTTTTCTCTCCAAACTGATAAAAAAAGTAGACATTTTAGAAAACATTTGAAATGAAATTACTCCATGATTTTATTGAAGGTAATATTTATTTAGTAAGAAGACCGTACATGTTTCTGGATGTTGGAATGTTTAACCTTTTGAATCTGAATGAGATGCCTTTTCAATTACTTGGTATTGTAGAAGAGTTGATATTGAAATTGGTGGGCTGGGGACTGAAAAATGGCAAATTTATTTTGTCCATTGGTTGTGTTTTTGTCGTTTTGGGTGATGTTGTTATTTTATTGGGGTTTGTCTTTTTCACTTTTTAACTGAACAGCTGACAGGAAAACTTTGACTTACGATTGTGCAAAACAAATAAAAACTCATCAAAGCCTTGAAAATAGAATTTAGGTAAAAGCTAAAAGAGAGTTGGGGGATTAAATGAAAGGAATATGTATATTTTAATGCACCTCACTCTTGACAGGAAATAAAAAAACTAGGCACTTTCAAATGTAGTTTACTTCACCAAAGATTGTGAGCTAGTACACTGAGGAACTCCTTTGTCTCTCCAACCAGGACACAAGTGACTCTGCAAAGTAAATTGCAGTTTGGGCAGTGTGCCTTTTTTGTACAATTACATTCAGTTGCATAGGTAATAATAGACTACAGACACACAAGGATACAGGGAGCCCTGGATCCAGCAAGAGATTTATTTCTTACTTAGCGAAAAATATAAAAAAAAAAAAAAAAGATCTATTTCAACCATAAAAAGAAAGTTAGATCCTTTTTTTGTTATAGTGGATTAAATCAGGCTTTTTGATTACGATCCTGCAATAAGCCTGTGATTCGACCTGGTGGTCAGTCAAACCAGCTATCTACCTCAGAGTTTTCTTTCTCCTCTGTACTAGGTCGGGTTAGCAGGTCCAGCCCGCCCTTCCAGACCAAATGCCACGCTCAGGAGCTGGCCACATACAGCTATTTCCTTATAGGTGGTTTTTCAAATGCTTTTCCTTTTTTAGACCTATTTTTAATGATGTCTTATTGTAATCAGTGGGGCGTGTTCACGCACTCAGTTTTGTGGTTTTGCAAAAGATGCTGCTTTTTATTGCAATAGATTCCAGGGGCTGATTTTAAAAGACCAACAAAACGTTGGAGCTCCTCTAAACACGCATGTTCGTTGCTGCGTCTCACATCAAGGCAAACGAGCAGCACATTGTAGTCAGCTTGGGTGCGAACCGGTGTAAAGGGCCACTGTGATTATACTTGAGATTTCTGTATAATGCCTGAGACTGAGAAGTAATAATGTCTGTCTTATGAGGTTAATGCTGCCGGTGGTGTCTGAACCAAGTGCCATAGTATCTGGGTCAAGAGTCGCAGAGGTGCACCGAATAGGAACAGTTGCTCATATAAGTATCCACCATGTCATTAAGTTATATGAGAAGAGTTCTAATTTATGACCATTGTTGTACAGACAGCTTAAGGAAATAAGAGATTTTCATAAAGCTACATGAGCTACAAGTTTTTTTTATTTTATTTTATTTTTTTAAATCTTGTGCCACACAATCGCTAGTGGTAACTTGTACGTATGTACAGTTTAAGGAATTGTTCCTCTGTAAATTTGTTTTGTAGTGTTCTTTTAAGCCAAAGACTTTTGTTTTGTTTGTTTCTTCTTTAGAAAGTCACCTAAGGTTTATTCTTTTCATTTCTTTGGCATTTGTGAATAAAGAAATTTCACATTTTTCAACTTTTAATACATGATCCCTCTTGTCTTCATTGTTGAGGAGAGCTAGAGTTCTTCATCCTGAATCCTGAGAACATCAGTTTTCCATTTCCTTTTTGAGAACATCAGTTTTCTATTTTATTTGACTATGGATTAATGATGTAAATGCATTTGTGTTGTCGTCCATTAAACAGCTGAACAATACATTTGAACATAATGATGCTTGTTGCTAGAGCTTGGCTGCAGCTTCAGAGGGCTGGAATCCAGCCACTGTCTCTCACATTTCATTTCTACAACATAGGGAATTTGGCCCTAAATACACACATGCTTTAATGTTTCAAACTGTCGGAAGAAAGTTAACTCATCTAGTTTTGTCTGTGTTATGTTCACACATGGTGCAACTTAAAGACTAATTTAAAAACACAGAAAGGGAAAAAGAAAATAAACATCTGTTTAGGTCCCCCATCAACGCAGGTGCTGACAGAGTTCACTTGGCTGTCATTTTTCAGCACGATAGCGGACTGCATTAATGTGACAGTGACCATCTTCTAGCTTACACATACATGCAGCAACGTTTTAGAGATTCACTCAGCGAAATTAATGGGACATAATTATCTCTTACAGCTGGCAAAAAAAGTAGGAGGTTATTGAAGGTTACTGTGGTGTTGTCCTCCGAAGATGATTTGATTATTGACAAGATACAAACACCTATTCCATATGAAATAGCTGACATCAATTATAATAACTGATCTTAAACTCCCGTCTTCTCTCAGCGATGATAAAGTACATTTATAATTAGCAATTTGTGCAAGATGTTATTCTATTGCCCTGTTGAGTTGGTTTACATTATTTATGAATTGGCCTGCCATAGGGTGAGGAACCTAGTTAGGGTTCTATAAACATGCACTGTTGCATGATACCGTGGACAACATGCGTGGCCTGGACGTGGTGAGTTAGGGGTATTGAGAAGTATGGTGTGCGGCGGGTGGACGGGGGTGTTCTGTGAGCCACGGCAGATGGGTCCTCAACGGTGTCCTGCAGGGTGTTGTGCCACCCTACGGGAAGCCACCAGCTCCAGACGAGCAGCAGAACTCACGCTCCAGCTGTCTGTGTTTGAGCCACCTGCGCTTTTACAAGCAATGGAGTTGAAACCCCTTCTTCCCCCTAGAAATCCACCGCCTTCTCCTGAAGCTCTCTGCTGTCCCCCTCCGTCCTCACCCGTTCAGGTTGGGAAAGCCCTGCAGCCATGTGCCATCAGAGGGAACTGCTTTTTCCTATCCAATGAAGTATTGACAAACCTTACTTTCTGTAATCAAGCAATGTTGTCTTATTTCATATTCATGTGACCTGACTGATGGCAAAGCATTTGTTCTTGAAATATATTTATAGACAATTTGTTTTTAATAAAGTAATTTATCATTTTGTTGAATTATAAATCGTCTATTTGGCTGTACAGCTCAGTAGCTTTTGTGCCGAGATTACAGACTCCCATAATAACATAATTATGAAAGTATAAAATCTAACATTAATTTGGAATAATCCAATACATGTCATGAATTGAATGGGCTATAGGGTGAATAATGGGAACCGTAAAAAAGCAGGTCTCAATAAAAACGTCTCAATAAGAAAACACTCCCATACGTAAATGGGTTAGAAAATGATCATTCATCAACATCATTTTCTTCTGGCAACAGCACATGTATGTAGAGCCTGAAACACATTACAATTATGAGCATTTCAAAATAAAACTACTTTAATAAATAAAAGCATTTACAGTGAGGGGGCGGGATCTAGTGAACAATATCACCTTAATAGCTTCACATTTACTTTACCACAGTATCACACGAGTCAACGATCACCAGTGTGTAGAGTACATTTGGGTGTGGCGCAAACAGCCTGCGTTGTATACATGAGCTGATGCAAAGAACTCTGTGCGTACAGCGCCACCTACAGGCCAATGTGTATAAAACAATCGCTGCATTTGTCTAATATTTTCTAACACATAACCACAATAACACAACGGCTGCTGTGTTTTTTTCTTCTCCAAACATCGGCCTATATAATCCCCTTTAATATTTAATATCTTTAATAAAATCACAGGTACGGTAGTGTGAAAATTGCTCAGTTTTGTTTTGTAAGTTACTCATTATATCAAAAAGTAAAAATCACTAACTTGTAAATCAAATAGCGCAGAGCATTTTCGGGCCATTTCGCCGTGTCGTTGAGTCGGGCGCGCGCGCGTGTGCGTGCGTGGGATCTCGCTCCGGCTGCTGCGTGCAGATCAGTCGAGTGGAGCAACAGTGAGAAAACTAGTTTGGTGGCACACGATCGCTCCTCTCAGCCGCCATGGACACCGTCCCGCTCCTGGGCAGCGTGCTGCTGTTGTGTGTTCAGCTGCACATCGGTGTGACGGGAGGTAAGACTGAAATGCGCCAATAAATACACGTGATATATTTATTCATATTTATATATATATATATTTGTTGTACACAGCTTGTGTGGCAGTGCGTACAGGCCCGTGTCGCACGAAGTGCACTCAGCCCTTTGCGCTTGGATTTGTTTTAGTGTCTTCTTGTCAACATCGCAAATCGGCAGCTTTTCGGTTCGAGAGGTGCTCGCGTGTTTCAATCACCCGTCCAGATGTTTTCGCTGTTCGCAAACCAGTGTTCTTGAATGTCGACGGCGTTGTTGTTTTTGTGCATATGGCGTCGCAACTTTTGAACCGACGTTAGCGCGCACGTATCTTTTAGGTTTCAAAGTTGTGTGCACGCCGATTGCGCGATTCTTCCTTATTTCTTCCTGCGAACGCAATCCGCGCACGTCTTATGAAGACGTGGGTGGTCTGCGCTGCAGAATTCTCCTTGGATTTTGTCCAATGGTGCGTTCACTGGCTAAGTAAGGGAACGTTGTCGTGTAAATAGCGACACTGACTGTGAACGAATGGACCGTAAACTACGTTGATAACCGATTCATACGCTCCTTCCAAGACGGAGACCTCTTTGTGAGATGTTGTGCGTTGTTTTCGCCAACAAGTGGAACGGTCCGGAAAGGCCGGACACCGTTTTCCAAACACAAACACAACCCGCACTGATCGGGAGGAACACTGGTCACAAGGGCAGTTTCAGTTGTGCAAACATGTACAGCCTGTTGGAGAGGGGGAGAGAGAGGGGGGTGCAGAGCTGTTACTATCTAACCAGACATGCAAAGCTGTTGCAGCATCCAAAGATTTGGATAATTATTTTTTTCAGTCAGATATTATTTTTCTTGGGCGGGGGGGAGTTGGTAGGGGGGGGTTAAATGTCCTCCTGTAGCTTCTAATTGCTGAACAAACAATGCTGAATGTGTGTAATCTTTCCCGTGGTGTCCCCCACAGACTGCCCCGCTGATGGACGCACCTGGGTGCCGTTTGGAGACGGGTGTTACTACTTTGTCCACGGGTCAGAAGACAAAATCAAAAGCTACACTTTTGAGAGAGCGAAAACTCTCTGCCAAGGATTTGGTACCTGAGACATTTCATCTTGAAACGAAATGGAAAAATGGACTGTGTGTTTTCTCAAAGTGTGTGATTTTTGTTGTATACTATGCTTTTATTCCAGAGCTTTTGAGCATCCAGAGCGCTGAGGAAAATGACTTTGTCGTCAAATATAGCCCAGAGGTGTGGAAAAACAATGTCAACGTTTGGCTGGGGATGTATTACGACACGAACAGTACGTACCATGTGACCAGAGGACTGTGAATCATGCTGCACAACACCGGATCTGATTGGATGAAAATAACAACTTTTTAAACAATTGTCTGGAGGTGACTTGGTAGAAAACAAACATTATATCTCCACAGGTTTTGTTTCAGATGTTTGCTAGAAAGTATATAGTCTCTAAGTCCAAAGATCATGTACAATATACTATTATTTCTTCAAAATTGTGTAACTTATGGTCAATTTGACTGACCAAAACACCCCACTTACCTCACGGCTAAAGATCATCTCAGGCATTGTAATATACTTTTTGTCTGCTGTGTCTTTACTCCATTTTTCTTGATTTACAAAATATGGAGCCCTGTCTGTGAGCTTGTGCCTGCTTCTTCTGAACTTGATCCAGGCACAACTTGTTATTATTATTGTACTCCTGTTATTTGAAGCGGCCATTTAAGGCACCATGTGGGGGATGCTAAGCTAAAACAAAACCTTAAATCACGTTTCATGTAAATCCTGAGCCGGGAAACACTTCATTTTGTGTTGTGATACAGTTGAGTGCAGTTTGTGTGACACGCGGCCAGTTGTGCCACCGTGCTGATCGGTTTGTGTCGTCAGGTGACGGCATGCGGTGGTTCGGTGAGCGACCGGTAGGATTCCGTAACTGGGAGGACGGCTCCTTCCCCTCGGACCTCGTGCCCTTGGATACGTGTGTAGCTCTGCACGCCAACACGGGGAAGTGGGAAAATGTCAGCTGCGTGGATCAGACGGAGAACGGAGTGGTCTGTGAGACGGATCAGAGTAAGAATTAACAATTGGGGCCAAAATGTCTGGTCGACCTGTTAAATAGCTGTTTAATATTCAAAGTGGGTCCATCAGTTTGTAACAAAGATTTCTCGCTAGTGTGACTTCAGGAAATGTGGCTGGTATTGTGTTCCACATGCCTCACAATGCGTGTTTTTTTTTTTTTTCTTCAGACGCCGAGGAAGCCAAGCCGAGTAAGTCGACCCTCTCTTCACTCATTCCTCAGTGCTTTCTTGTTTTCCCCAGTTGTGACCTTCCTCATACGTTGTTCCTTGTTCCCCTCAAGGACCGAGCGCACTGCTGACCGCCATGGTCATCCTCACCGTGGTGGCTATCATTGGAGTCTCGGCAGTTATTTGGTTCCTGCATCACAGGAAAAGTCCCGGCTTCCCGATGCTCACAGCGTTCGAGTACCACCCTCCGTTCCGGGTCCTGGACGAGGACCGCTCCTGCCTGGTGGAGGCGGAGGAGACCGACAGCGCGCCGTAGGAGAATGGTATGGCTCCTCCAGGACGCACCAGGCCCTCCTCGCTGGGTGGGTGTTCAGGCATATTCCAGCTGTGACAAACGGTTACTGCAGTAGTTCTTTGGGGTTCGCGCATGTCAACGAGTAATTCTGTGTGATTGTAAGAAAGCTAAGTGCAGGCTTACTTTTACTCATACTAGCCAGCGTGGCATATAAACACCTCACAGCGTTTTTCCAATGCACTCAGAATCATGTGTATGTCTTTCAGATTTGTGCATCAGCAGCCTGGTCTACATGTGACAGTCACTGCACTTCTCTAATAACTTGCATGTTAAAAGCGAGTTCAAATAAAGAGCAAATCTTATTATAAATGTTCAGTGTTCATTTTTAGTATTGCACTGCCACAAACCTGGGGACTAACAAGAGGGAGAATGAAATACGAATGTAAAATTGATGCAGAACAGACTGCGACACCCTGACATTCAGTCCCTAGTACGTATCACGCTCCAAAAATGCTGGGTTCTACATTTCACATAATGCAACCAATCCCATGTTTCTGCTAGACCTTGACTCTCTGGTAATGTTCATGTCTTTCAAACCAGTGGAGCGTTTCCTTTTTTAAGCAGTATTCAAAGACAGAGGGAGGACAAATGGCTAGTAAGGGCTCTTGCATGTAAGTAGTTGGAACGGAGCACAAAGCCAGCTATAGTTTGAGGGATTGTCTTGTTAGTCCACACATGTAAACGTTGCCAGTGAGATGTATTTGCACAATGCCTAAAAAAGATTATTTTCCAGGTCAAATGTATTTTGGGAATGAACTGCCATTCTAAATCAATACTGCCAGAGAACGTCCGGTCTATTTTCTTTACATTCTGTCCTGAGCTTTGTGTTTTTGATTGTGACAAGGTGATATGTGATTTCATTCTGCCCTGTTAAATCCTATATTGAGAAAAGCATTTCTTTCTTTTGAGGATTTGATTTCAAAATGATCATTCTGTGAGATTTAAGACAATCAATTTTTCAGGTTGTGATGACTGTGCTGAAAAATGAAGCCAAAAGACTTTCCAGTGTAAAATACCCCCCTAATACTGTTGTACACTGTTAACAGCATGAATGCTATTGTGCAATATTTGAGATTAACTGTGCAGGATCCGAGCCCCTGTGTGTTTTTCCTAATAAAGTATGTTTGACAATAAGAAGGGCTTATTTTTATATATTTTATTTATATATATTTTTTCTTTTTTGTTATTGATCGAAGTCAGGAAGGTCTGTTAGTGTTAAAAATGAGCAGGTTGAGAATATATAAGTACTCTCCCTTTTATGCGCTCTATATAGAACATTTCTGCTAAAAATATGTATGTTGCACATAAAGAAGGAAGAATCGGCACACCGAAATTTGGGATAGCGTCTAATTGATTCTGAAAGAATATCTAGCGTACTTGGAGTCATGCATATCTAATTTTGGAATTCCAAGAATTCTGTCATCTAACATTGTCTTTAATCCATCTGTCTTTAAATTCAGCCTTTAACTATAAACTGTGAGAGGGACCAACATCTATTGATAAAGCACACTAATAGAGATCCACGACAATAAGCGTTTCCTCCTAGTAGGTCATTTCTAGATTTGGCCACAAGGTGGGACAGAATCACATTTCACTTCTCTGACAGTTTTTTTTTGTTTTTTTTCTAGTTAATGAGGTCCGGTAACATGGATGATTATAACTGTGATGGTTGTGCGAGTATTCTCTGGATGAGCAGTAATCAATAGGAACACTAATTTGTAAAAAAAAAAAAAAGAACATCCCTGTCTCTTGAGGAAACAAATACCACGAGGCACCCAAAGAGCTGACGTAAAGTCATGGAAAGCTTATCTTGTCGTCTGGGTGAGGTGAAAGTCCTTGATGATTCAATAAGAACGTGTGTCTATCTGTGTTGGCCAATAATTAACGTGTTTTGCGAGATGAAGGTTTAAACAGCTGATTGGGACTGAGCTAGAGAAGAGCATGACTGCAGTGTGGGTCAGACTGTGTTATAAACTCAGTGTGTAGTTAAATCTTTGTTTTCTCTATTACACATGTTTTGACTGCATATAAACATATAAAATAACCCCAAAAATGTATACAGTCAAAAACATTGGTGCAGAATCACATTAAACTAAACAGGTGTTTTTTCATAATCCTAATGTGCATTAATAATTAAATTGTATAGCAGCCGGACATTTAAAGTGCCTTAATTGGTTCGATTCAAGTGGATATTTATTTGGGTGTGTATTTATCAGACTTGCCAAAGCCAAAGAGGGATTCACGTTTGTTACCATGCAACAAAGTATAACTGGTAGTGATCCGGTAGCAGATTGTTGTGAGTAAGCCTCCATTTGAATGGAACTCGTAGTGGCACATTGAGACCGCATGCACGGTGATTTTAAACAGTTTACTTATTGTAGTCTGGTTCTCGGTCTCTGAATTACTCCGATGTTTTAGCATTTCTAATAGAATCAATTGAGAATGACTAATGATGATTGGTAAGTGTATAAGGACTGCTGAGCCTTCACATATTTGTCATTTGTTGTAATGTCAATGCTCCTTGTTGTCAAGAGTTCCAACCGAGTGTATTGACATTCAGAAGGATGGTTTTGTTTCATGTGTTTTCCTGCACTTGGCAGAATAATCACAATTTGAATTATGATAATTCATTGCAACACTATTATACTGAAAAACCTCACCGGATATTTCTTTTTTTAATAATGGGGTTGAATTGAATTCATGATTAACCTTTTGAGGCTCATTATTCTCATACTCATTATTTTTTTGGAATTGTGTAACCACAGTGATTTAGGCTTTAATGTCCCTAACATTGTCTTTTATTCTTACTGTGTGTGTGTTTTGCATTGTATGCCCATAGAGGGGGTGTTTTCTCATCGCAACAGCTCTAATGGCCTATTTTCACTCAATAACAGCGCATGACATTTTTTCTCCATATCTGCCACGGCGCTGCTTGAAGCAGGAAGAGGTCTGACGTTGACCCACAATTACTTATTAAAATGGACATTGGTATGCATGAATAAGATATGGCACACAGTAGCATGACAGACGGAATGAAAATGAGAGCCACACTGGATCCACAGACACACGTTCATCGGGCTTGTGAATTCTAACGTTGTGCGTAAGCTTTACAGTCTGAAACTACAGAAGAAACCAGACTCTTTGTGTTGATACGAAGCGGTCAAATCAGTCAGAACTCTTGGTGCAAGGTGTCCGTGCACAGTAGTGTAGAGCATCTGTTTCTCATGTCTAGGAAGTCCCCCCCCCCACCATCCTCCTGTTCACCATCCTGGGAACATGCTCCAATTAACAGAAGGAAACAAAGGCCACATGACTGCACAGTGACCGTCCATTCTCAAGAAACAGAATGTGTGCTCAATATTATGTCAAGACACGGCATGCTACAATACTGCACCTACAGGACTGCCATTGTACCAAATGATTCCTTTAGCATTTCCTATTAATGCATGACAAAAAGAGCCACTGTGTAACGTAACAAGATGCCGTGTAATTCAAGCTCCAAGTACAAGCTAACCTTTTTATCTCACAACTCACATGGGGTGGCATGTTTCTGAGGGTTGGGTTAGCTGAGTACTATTAAAAACACCGTACTAGATTTGAGACTGCGTGTTTCGCACGCAAGCAAGCACGCACGCACGCACAAACACACACATACACACTGATGCCAAGTTAAGCGATGAATAAACCCAGTTTTTTATATCTCAGACACTGTGCCATTTTCTAAATCAAATGCGTGTGCAGAGCTGCAAGGCTTTGGCGTTAAAGGGATCAGAGCATCGTGTGCTGACATGATTAAAATCTCTATTATTCAAATATGTCAGGACAGAAAAAAAAAAAATCTGCGACAGAGAGTCCAACTCTTGTGCCTTACGGGTGAACCGAGCTTTCTGTGGACTGATAAAAAAAAATAATTAAAAACAAAAGCACCATCTTAATTTGTTTTCCATCAGTCTCTAGAGATCATCTTCGCTGTGTCTTTGGTATCTCATTATACTTTCTAATCAAGACTCTTTAAAAATCCCTTTAAAGGGAGACAGACTGTTTGCCCTTCCCCCCAGCATGCTGCTGCATTGCAGCCATCGGCGTGCGACTAGTATGTTACAAATGACCAAGGTAGGCTGACATTTTGATTGTGCAATGTGAAAATCGTTGGCTGGAAAGAGGCTTTTTTCTTTTTTTAAAGTGACGCTGTGCTGATCTCTCGCATCACTCATCCTCTCTAATGAAGATTGTCCAATACAATTAAAAACTCAGGGATCCTGTGGCTCGGGTTATGCATTTTCAAATCATATTTTCCCCTTCTCTCCCCATGTGTTAATACAGTGTTTCACTCAGTTCAGTCAGTAGCTTCTGTGACAGCAGCACATCCGGAAGTGAATGAAAACAAACACTTTTTATTTCTTAGTTGATGCATCATATGAGCTCTGCTTCATGTACAGTATGCTTAGTTGCAGTGGCCATAAATGTAAATTTGCTTCATCCACTAAACGTATCTTTCACAAAACAAAGCGTGTTGCAACATGATGTAAAGTGACTCTTTGTTTTTCATATAACACTGGAATCTTCATTTTAATCTCCAAGGAAAGGCACACAGTTCATTATAAATGCTTTACACAATTTGTCATATTTCAACAGCGAGCTACAAAATCACATCTGTCGAAACCAGAGACAGAGAGTTTCTGTTGCATTGTTTCAATTACACTGTGTTGTAAATGCTCTCGAGTCTAATGATAACACGCACCCCATTTCCTGTTGCAGATTGTACGCTTGCTTATCGGCAAGAAAAAAAAAAGACAGATGGTAGTCATTGGTATAGTCATCCATTCACTGGAGTCACTTTGTTGGGTGAACAAAAGGTATTATAATGCATTGTTAATAGTTTCTCCATTGCATTTTTTACCATTTCATTCTGGCCGGATCTGAGCAGTCCATACTTTCAGGCAATTTCAACACAAGTGTTACATGATTGACATGAATGCTGGCTTCCCTAAAGTAAAGAGCTCGAGCCGCTCCCTTAAAGAGAGAGGTATGGACTCATCAGCAGCAGGTGCGTCAGATCCATGCATTCCTTTTAAGTGTGTGAAAGAATTCAATTGTTTGTAGTCTAAATGCACGTGTGCCTTCCGTATCTACCAGCACTGATGCAGTTTTCTATCATGCTGCAAGACCGACCTCAACTTTAGCGTCATCAAAATGATAAAAAAAAAAGTTATTCAGTTCAGTTATTACTCAACACGCTTGAGGCTCAATGTCTTCCTCAGCAAGACTTCTTGTGCCAGTTGTTGATTACAAAACAATGTGAATGTGCGCAGTATACCACCAAGGAAGTTAGTTTCCCCTAAACTGGAGTAGGAAAAAAAAGTCATGATTAAACCACACCGTTTAGAAAATTTGTAGCATCTGAAAAACGGTTTTCACTGCCACACTGGAAAATAAAAGCACCTTACCACTACTTATTCACCACTACATTTACTAATAGGGGGTGGAATGATATATCATTTCATGGAGTTTTTCCTCTGTCGATGGGAGGGTTTTGGGACAGAGAATGTGTACAGATTGTAAAGGTTATTTGTGATTTTAGGGCTATACGAAATAAGATGAATGACTCTCATTGCATCATCAATTAAATCACGTTAGCTTTTCATTCTTTTTCTCAAATAATGTATTTCCATTGGTGGCTCTGCATGTACGGGGGGGGGCATCAGGTGCTCCCATCACACGGATATGAAGGGGAGCGGATCCAAAAGTTTGTGTTGCAGAAGCCCTGAGCTGACGTCACTTCTCTTGAGTTGCTCCGAGCGAAGCTGAGGAGAGCGTCTCTCTCTCTCTCTCTCTCTCTCTCTCTCTCTCTCTCCCTCCACTGCGCGACTTAACGCAGGAGGACCGACGCGCACTCTCAGCCCGGACTCACGCCGCTGACCACGTTCTCCATTCGTGTCGTTTTTTCAACAAACCGCGCAAAACACTGGGAAGTAAATCAACGCGTCGCTGCGCCGTTTCACCCCTCGAAGGGAATTCGCCGTTTTTCGACGACAAGGTGAGTTTTATTCATGTTTTTTTTCTCCTTTCCTCCGCCGCAGCTCGCGAGGTGTTTGTCACTAACGGGCAGTCAGTCATGTTATCTGGCAGGTTTC